TGTTGGGGACAAATCTCTCTCCACCATGCAAGATCATTGTTTACAGTTGTCGTTTTCAAGGCCGAGATTTATTTATCTCCTGCCATGCTCACCCTCACCTCTACATGACCTTCTTGTTGTACTTCTCTTAACGTCTTGAACAGGCTACATTTCCTTCCACAACAAGCCTTCCCTGAACCCCCTGACTTGGAAGAGTTACCCTGCTATTTTTTCTTATCCCTGTACATTCTTTTTAAAAATATGTATCTCACTTGTTATTATTTGTAATATCAGTCTTCCCTACTGAATAATTTAGACCAGCAAGTTTCAACTTTTTTCATCTGATGGCTCACATAGACTAATTCCTAAAATTTTGTGGCATACCAAAAAATATATTTTTTGCCAACCTGACAAAAAATATGGGTATATAAGTATAGGTATATGGATTCACTCGCACCAGATGGCTATTGATGTGTTTGTTGTCATTTTTTTTTCATTTAGCAATCTAAAGGAAAATAAGCCAGTGTCCCTAAGAGTCAGGTATTAAATGTTTTAAAAATTCTTGCATTACACCAGTGTACCTGCCCCTGCACACCAGTTGAAAATCACTTGTTTAGACCAAAAGCCTTATGCTGATCTGGGCTATGTTTGTGTTGTTTAATTGTGTGTCCTTGGTGATTAATACAGATCCTAGCAAGGTTAGCAAATATGTTGACTGGATGTGAATGTTTTCCCTCCCTTACCAAAGAGTGATTTCCTAATGGGCAAGCTTTGCCCTTCTTCTATAATCCACATAACATAGAAGACAGTAGTGTGCAGTGGATAAGAGATAGGGGTTCAGATATGGCCTCTGCCACTTACCATCCCTGGGATCTTAACCTTTTAGCCTCTCTGGGTGTCAGAGTTCTCATCTACACTGTTTTTTATTCATTCTATGATTCAGTAAATATTTACTGAGTGTCAGCCATGTGCCAGGCACTAATCTAGTAACTGTGGTTACAGCGGTATGCAAGACAGGAAAGTTCTAATTGGGAAAGGGAAGGAGCTGGGTGGAGAGAGGCACAATAAACACATAAGCAAAATAAATAAAACTTTCAGGTAACGATAAAGGCTACAGTAGAGCAACTGAGGATAGCAAATTCAAAGAGACCAAGAAAGGCCTCTCTGAGGAGATGGTACTTGAGCTGAGTTTTTGAGTAGATTACAAGAGGTAGTGTCTGTCAATATTTTAAAATAATGTCTGGCATGTATACTAATATAGCAATAAATGATAACTATTAATACTGTTTAAAAACTTGTCAAATGGATGAACTGGAAGTAAATGAAAATATAAACAATTTCTCTTTGCTATGTAAAATGCTATAATTGACAACATTTATATGTGGACTTATATGTATTATGGTGCATGTGTGTGTGTATGTGTTGAGTCAGCAAGCTCTTTTCTAACAGAAAGAATGGCTTTTTTTTAATTCTGAAATAGTGAATACCCCTCCAAAACCAGTACAATTTATACCCTGGGAGTGATTTAATTACTCACAGCATCTATCCACCAACCTACTCAGAGAGAAATCACAGAAATGTGTTATATATGTGTAATAAATGGATTACGAATATCATCTATGTAATACAAGCACATATACATTTATATACATAAAATACATTCATATAACTAATACAAATGTGTTTATAAGTGGATTCAATGTTCTCTATGGCCCCACTAACCTATGAATTTTCATGTTTGTTCCATCTGACCTGATGAAGAAATGATTAGGGCTAAAGATTTGAGAGAGAAAGACCATGGATGTGTCAACACAAGCCCACTCCAAAAATATTTAAAAATCACTGGTAATTCACATCCTTCTGATGTAGTAATAAAATCAGTGGAGTGAATTGGCTGGTATATATCATGGGTGGGGTTAAGAACCTCCTCTGTGCCTGGCACATCTCACATAAGCCCCCCACCCTCAAATTATATGAGGTATGTAACTCTCTTAGCTTGGGCTCCCACAGCTGACCCTCAGATGAGGGAGAGTAAGGGTTTGGCTTACAGGTGAAGTCTCTGCTTGGGCTGGAAGCCCCAGCGGAACTTGGAAATATAAACTTTGTCCCCATAGGAGGTAGGGGTGTGTGTGTACTTGAGTAGGAATAATAAATGGGACTCAGGGAATGTAGGTAGAGCACTGACAGTGTCCTCTACAGTATTCATATCCTTAATTTACATCAGAGGAAACCTGGAAGTTTATGTACTCAGAGAGGTTAAATATTTCACTCAAGGTCACCTCCCTACTAAGTGGCACAGTCTGGGTACAAACCCAAACAGATTTGACACTACAGTTCATGCTCTTTCTCCTCTACCAAAGGCACCTCCCTTTCCTGAACATCAGCCATATACACAGAAACATATTTTGTGTTTATATAAATAGACATTCTTACCTAGCTTCCTGAGTCCGAAGGCTATCAGGATTTGCCATGAAACACATTTTGGAGCCTCTAGAAGAACACTGTCTAACAGAAATATGAGAGCCACATATGTAATTTAAAATTTACTAGTAGCCGCAATAAAAAAGAAATAAGTGAAATCAAATTTAATAATATACCTTATTTAGTTCAATATACTCAAAATATTATTATTCAACATGTAATCAATATTTAAAAATTTAAGGAGATATTTTACATTCTTTTTATGTAAAGTCTCTTTGTATATTTTATACTGTAGCACATCTCAATTTAGTTGCAAAGTATTATCAGAAATACTTGTGAATTTAGATTTTATAAAATTTACAGTTGGAAAAAATAGGTTCACATAGCCAAGTTGGTCCAAACATACTTAACACATTTTTCTTAATAGACTTAAGTATCTCTTTTTAAATTTAAGTCAATTAAATTATATATTAAAAATAATTCAGCTCCTCAGTCACACTAGCCACACTTGAAATGCTCAAAAGCATACTTTCCTTCACATTCTCACCAACACCTATTTGTTGTGTTTTTGATAACAGCCTTTGTGACAGGTGTGAGGTGATATCTCATTGTGGTTTTAATCTGCATTTCCCTGATGATGAGTGACATTGAGCATCCTTTCATGTTCCTATTGGTCATCTATATGTCTTTTTTTGAGAAATTTCTATTCAGGTCCTCTGCCCATATTTTAATTGGATTATTTGTTTTGTTTGATGTTGAGTTGCATAAGTTTTTACATTTTCGATATTAACCCCTTATCGGATATATCATTTGTAAATATCTTCTATTCAGTAGAATGCCTTTTTTTTCTTGTGATAGTTTCCTTCACTGACCCACCAATTCCACTTCTTGGTATTTACCCAGAAAATGAAAACAATTGTTCAAAAAGATGTGTATGTCGCTAAATTCATTGTAGCATTGTTTGCAATGGCCAAGATATGGAAGCAACCTAGGTGTCCACTGATAGATGAATGGATAAAGAAAATGTGATATATATGATATGCAATAGATGTAATATAGATCACCATATATATATATATACACATGCATACATACATATATATAATGAAATATGTTCAGCCATAAAAAAGAATGAAATCTTGCCATTTGTGACAACATGTATAGACCTAGAGAGTATTATGTTAAGTGAAATAAGTCAACAGAAAAATACAAATACCATATGATTTCACTTACACATGTAATCTAAGAAGCTAAATGAATAAACAAAATGAAACAAACAAACTCACAGATACAGAGAACAAACAGATGGTTTCCAGAATAGAGGGAGGGTGAGGGAAGGAGATTAAGAAGTACAAACTTCCAGTTATAAAATAAGTCATGGTGATGTAATGCACAGATGGTTAGTAGACTAAATGTAATAATTACTTCCTAAGATATATACATGTTGAATCATTATGTTGTACACCTGCAACTAATATAATATTGTATGTCAACTATAATTAAAAATAAATTTTAAGAAATGCTCAATAGTTTCACGTGACTAGTAGTTACCATACTGAACAGTACAGAAAATTTATTCTATGAGAAAGTACAAGGATATGACTCTGTATACCATCAGGAATGAAACAAGTCAATCAACAAATCAATATTGAGTATCTATCAGGTACTCCTTATAGCAGATAGGTGGTGGACAAAACACCCTTGGCCAGGAATATTTAGCTACAATTGGAATTGATCAAAAGGAATGAGAATTAGTTGGGTCAATACTTTTAGATCAGAGCCACTGAGGAATAAGATAGGGCTGGCTTTTGACTGACCTTTAATAAACCACCTACATGCAATACTTGACTTTTATCTCTGGAGACCTGGTTACTCAGTTTCAGTGCATTTTGTCATCTGATGAGAAACTGTGCAACAAACCCAAAAGAACACTGGTAAGAGGCCATTTTGACCCCATAACCTCACAGATACATGTGGGTGGTCCTGGAAGCACAACCAGGTGCAAACACAGGAAAGTACTTGAAAAAAACCTGACATACTTTTAAGTATATGTGCAGGATTATGCTCAAAGGAAATGAGCCCATTTCCAAAAGGCGTGTATAGAAATGGTCATGGTAGCAGTATTCCTAATTGCCAAAAATTGGAAATTATCCAAAAACACATAAACAGTAGAATGATTTAAAATAGTGTAATTTTCTGGAATATTTATGCATTGTCATACCATTCAGCAATGATAATGAAAACCTATAGCTATATCCCACAATGTAGATGAACCTTACAAACACACTGAGTATAATAAACAAGACCCCCAAAACTCAACAAAATATAGGGTAGCATTTATACCAAGTTCAAAAATAGGCAAAACTAATACATGATTTTAGAAGTCAGGATAATCATTAACTTGGTTGGAGGTGGGGTGGTTGATTAAAAAGTACCATGAAAGGCAGTTACTAGGATGCTGGCAAAGTTTTCTTTTAATTATGGGCTGATCATGCAAGTATGTTTATTTAATGAAAATGCTTATATTCTCTATATATGTTATACTTTAAATATATATTTAATTAATAAATTTTATTTATTTATTTATTTTTCCTCTGAAGACCAACAGGTTTTGTTATCCATTCTGGAACACAAAAGACAAACTATGCATGTATAAGTAAGTAAAGACTTTCATTCTATTCTGTGGTTCTACATCCTTAAAATCCCAAACATCTGTTTTGGAGGCAGAGAAAATAAAAACAAGCTAATCATAGAGTGTGGGAGTCCATGAAAATAGTAGATAACAAAAAAGATGACTTAGCCCTCATTGAGATTGATCTGCCTGGCAAGTCCTTTCCTCACCTCTGTCTAATGAAATCTTAACTTCCTTCAAGTTCCATTTAATGACACTTCATCCAGGAAGTCGTACTTGATTGCCCAGATGAAAATTGTCTCTTCTTCTACATTTGTAGGGCATTTGGGGGGACTATTCATCACAAGCACATTTTACCATACATTATAGCAAGTTCTAGAAGACAGTGCAACATCATGCAAAAAGGCTTGGGTGGGGAGTCAACTAAGGTTCAAAACCTGCCTGTGTGACCTAGAGCAAATTGCTGTGTGACCTGGAGCAAATTACTTAATCACTGTGCATTTGTTTCCTCAGTTGTAAAATGGAGATGATAATAATAAGACCTCTCTAATAGGCTGTTGTAAAGATGAAATAATGAATACGCAGCTGCTAGAAATCAGTAAGATCTCAGGAAATGTTAATTATTAATATTCTTGAGTATTATCTATTCCAGCAGCTAATAGGTTCCTAAAAAATATGGAACATAATTTAGATGCCTTACAATGAATCAACTCATTACACACATCCCACACTTGCTTTCCTTATGTTCTTTTCTATTTTTTTCCACTGGCTTAAGCTCCTCAAGAACTGGGACAACAACTATTTATTGTAATAGCCTTCACATTGCATAACACTGAGATGTAGGCTACATAGATGCTTAGCAATGGGTTGAAGTAACTGAGGAAGTCTTGCCCTTTCTCATTGGCAATACCTCAAGCAATCCAAAGAGAACTTCCATAAACTCACACACAAATTTTTCTACCTCCAGGGTGACCGCCCATTCCTATTTGCTCTTGGCTGCACCAGTTTGGGCACTGCAAGTCCCATGATCCAGGAAAACCCCTGAGTCACAACAAACCAGGATAGTTGGTCCACTACCTGCATCTGTGCCCAAAACTTGGACTAGCTCACTGTTTTATGGATGAACAGTCGTTCATGCGCCTATCTAAAGGCAAGCCCCCATTCTGGTTGGCATTTCCTCTGCGTACTCAAGGACTGGGCTCTTGAAATTCTCCTCCTTCCTTCTTGTATCATCAATCATTCCTCACTACTGAGCCATTCCCATTATCCTTCAAACATGCTGTAGTTTTTCCTATTTAAAAAAAGTTTAAAAATTAAACAACAAAAAGGCTTGAACTTACATCACCCTCAAGCCACCACCCCTCTCTTGGTTCTCCTTTATAACAAACTATTTGAATGAATTGTCTATGCATAGTCTCCAATTCCAAGCCCTCCTTTTTTTATTCTTTGTTGAACTACTTCAATCAGGTTTTTGTCCCCAACTCTCCATAGAAATATGTCTTGTCATTACTTGCTAATGACCTGAAACTTCCCTGGACTGTTGAATTATGAGGAATAAGCTTCTATTATTGAGCCATTGTATTTTTTCATTTTTTTAAATCACAGGTGTTTATCCTTGTAAGGGCTAAAAATTTCCACATTTGTATCTTCAGTTGATATACCTCCTCTGCACTTCACACTTGTATAGCCAGCTGTCAGCTGTCTGCCCTGCAAGCAAGTGAATGTACAATAAGCATCTCCTACTTAATATGTCAAAACTAGACTTTTAATTTTCACCCTAAAGCAGTCTCCTCTCTCAGAAAATAGCCTCTATTCTTCTCGCTCAGACCCCAAACCATGAAGTCATCCCTGATACTGCACCCCCCACCTCTTGCATCTCACATCCAGTCTACCAGGAAAGGCCATCTTCTCTTGCCAGATTATTGTTTCTTGCCAGCAATAGTTTCCTCTCTGCTCTCACTGCTTCCTCCCTGGCACCCTTTCAACACAGGAACCAAAAAAACCCTCTGAAAACATAGGTCAATGTAAGTCATTCTAATGCTCAAAACTTCCTCCAGAGGCTTCTCATCTCATTCAGAATAAAGTTAAGAGGCCTTATCCTGACCTACGAAGTGAAATGAGTTGTTCTGTCACCCATCTTACCAAAACTCCTACCGCAGTCCTCCTCCCTTACTCTGCGCCTGCCCGCTGGCCCCCTTGCACTTCCACAGACACACCGTAGCCATGCCAGCATCCCAACTGTGGACTTGGGGCTCCTCTTGCACAAAAGGCTATTCTCCCAAATAATGATATGATTCACTCCCACACTTTCTCACTCTCTCTTCAAATTTTACACTCTTCTATTTGGCCTCTGAATCCTTCATTTATTATAAGAAATATTTTCCATGCAATAGTCACTGCACTGAGAACAGAAAGATGAACATGACAAGGCCTTTGCCCTCAAGAAACTGCTAAACATGACTGAAGACTGGGCTTTCAAGGAAGGTTTCTGAGGGAAGGTGCCCCCTAAGATGAATCCTGAAGTGAAAGTAGAAGTTAGTTTGTAGGAGAAAGGGTGATAAAGCAAGTGCCTTTCAGAGAGACAACGTCGCAATTGCTAACATGTGTGGGTGTTAGAATATGGCATATTCAGAGACTGCAAGATCAGCTTTTCCTGTAATGAAGTGTGGTCATGTGCTACCACATGAGCACTAGCATCGCTTCATTAACTGCAGGGGATGGGGATGACAGAAGAGAACCAGCACAGCTAGACACTAGGGTGGTATAGGCGAGACAACCAAGAGCAATGGCCAGACATGAACACTGTGGAGCACTGCCAAAGACAAGAAGAGACATTCAGACTAGAAGTTGGAGTGAGCAGCCCATAAGAAGGGGAATGAGACAGCCCAACATATGGGCAGGTTTTAGGAACAAGGGTTCCTGTGGTATGCGATATTAAGAGATAATAGCAGTGGGAATCAGTTCCACTAATGGCTCTCAATAAACCAAGTCTCCTGGTATGCATGTCTGCTTCAGCATCGCCCCTGGAATCTGGGCTGAACATGTGACTTGCTTTCACCAAACATCTCTCAACCAGGGAAGATTTTGCCTTCCAGGGGATATTTGACAGTGTGTGGAGACAATTTTGTTTGTCACAAGTTAGAGGAAGAAGGTAGAGGCATCTAGTGGGTAGCAGTCAGGGAGGTGTTAAAGACCTACCGATGCACAGTACAGTCCCCCACAACAAAGAATTATTCCACTCAAAATGTCAATAGTGCCGAGGCTGAAAAACTTAAGCCTTAAGACCTTATGCTTTAAGGACATAGAAGCTTCCACTTTTGTACTCTTGAAAGCAGGATAGCCAGACTTCTTATATGGGTAGCTCAGAGATCTGTTAGAGGCCCCATGGAGAGGGAACAGTCCTAAGGCTATATGGAGGAGAACTGAGAACTCAGCTGACAGCAAGAACCAAGGTCCCAGACATATGATCCCAGACAAGGCTTCTAGCCAGCCTCTGACCATGTGAGCCATCTTTGCTGAGGTGCCAGACATGTGAGCCGAGATGATATCATGGGCTCTTCAACACCAGCAGACATCAGGGAACACAGACAAGCTGCCCCCTCTGAGCACTGCTCAAATTACAGAATAACGAGCAAATAAATAAAATGTTGATTTAAGTCACTAAGTTTTGGTATAGTTTCATTACACAATGATAGATGAAGCAATAGCCAGCATACTGGTAATAAGCATTGTTCTAAGTAAATTCATTCTAACTACATTCTAAGTTCTAAGTATAGTCTAACTACAATCTGAAGAAATGAGACTTATGATCAATGTCACTTTATTTTTATTTTTATTTAATTTATTGATTTGAGAGAGAGAGAGAGAGAGACATCAATTTGTTGTTCCACTTATCTATGCCTTCATTGCTTGATTCTTGTATGTGCCCTGATGGGGGACTGAGCCTACAATCTTGGTGTATCAGGATAATGCTCTACCCAACTGAGCTACCTAGCCAGGGTTCAATGCCACTTTAGCTATGAGGAAACCTAAACACAAAGGCACAAAGAGGTTAAGTACCCACTCAAGATTAACACAACTAGGAAACAAGAGAGTTGGGTTTTGAACCCAGGCAGCCTGACTGAAGAAGCTACATCTTAACCATCATGCATATAGCCTCTCTAGGCATTCAGTCATTCAATTCAACAAATATTTATGGAGAACCTACCATAAGCCAGACACTGTACTATGCACATGGGATACAGAGACCAAAACAGACAAAAACTCTGCTCTTGGAACTTACAGTGGAGTCTGAGAAGCCATAGAAGTGTGCTATTAGGTAGCAAGACATTGATTGGTTTTTTGGCTGTCAGCCATCTATTCTAAGTACCCCCATTTTCACTGAGGAATTACCCTTTCTTTTGGATACAGTCTGTTAAAACTGTTGCTCAAAGTGGGAAGCCCTCTCCTCGCCAGCCAGGCCATATGTTCCTGTCCTGGGATTTGAATCTTCAGAAAAGTAGCAAAAAGATTGAAAACAGTTGGAACTTATTCATACCAGGGCTGGCTCCCAGACAAAACTACTGAGAAGCTCCTGCTGCCCAGACCTCCAAATCTGCAATGCTTTCTACCCACTTACGAGCCTTGTTCTGTAGGCTTCTTATTGTTCTGTGAGCCATCTGATATCTTCCTAATAAATTTCCATGTTGCTAGGCAGAGACTGGTTCTAATGTTTGTGATTAAAGGACTCTAACCACAAGTCTGGAGTTCAGGAGAAGGTCTCTAGGCCTAGGGGGAGAGACTGGTAGGAATAAAATAAACAGAAATGGTGTTCCTCAATAATCTTCACTAACTTTATTTCTGGTGTTTTGTTTGGGCAACTGACAGTTCCTCAATCTCATGTAAAGTGTTAAGCAAAAACCGTTTTCAAGCCATCTTCTTCAAACCAAACTGCTGTATTAAGACCTTTCTGCATAGAAATTCTGAAGCCATCAATGATAAAATTTGAAAGCAGAGACTGAGACACAGGACATTGGTTAACAGAA